CTTGATCATGGCGGTTCTGCTTGATCATTCTTTGCAGTTTTAAAAGCTCCATACATCGCAGGCAAACGGATTGTTTGAATAAATAATTTTAGCTGAACTCAGGTCGCAGGTCGGGAAAGCCTCGCGCTGGGCGATTCCGTTGGCGGACTCCAGGGAGGCTTCGCACCGTCTTCGGGAGTCCGCGCGGGGGTGCATGGCTTTTCATGCTTCCAATGTCATGGATTGGTCGGCGTCGAGACAAATGGGCTCCTGAAGGAAGTCAATACAACACGTTGAATTTGTAGGAAATGCGGCGCGGCAAAATCCTTCCATATGGTCGCGTGTCCAGCCCCTGCCTCGCGCTCTCCCCGCTCACTCCCCGGTGCCCCCTCGAAACGCCATGCCAAAGCTCTTCACCCGGCCCTGCGCTGTGATCCAGGAGCTGAGCTATAGTAGGACTTAAGGACACTTGATGCTTATCCGAGGTTTCCTTGGAGTTCCTCTACAGGTGTTAGGATAGTGCCCACATGGCAGGCGGCTCTGCCACAGGGAAGCTCATTCCTTCGTCTTTCCCGCCACCCCATCCCCCTGCCCCTGCCGAGGGGCCACCCGCACGCAGGAGGGCCAGACTGCGCTCCACCTTGCCGCAGCCAAGGGTTGCCAAAACGTGCCAAAACAACACTGCAGGACAAGGTGGGTGAGCGCGCACATGTGTGTATCTGTGGGGGGGACCCCTGCGGGCGGGCGGGCGGCTAGGAGGAGGGGGCAGTTCTAGGGGGGCCAAACTCTCCCCACAACCCCCCCTTTCACAACGCACACCAAGCAGTCATTGTCCATAAGAACAACAACACCGCCCACCCCCGCACCCCCTCAACCCCTCAACCCCTCACCTACCCCCTCACCCCCAGGCTGGTCGCACCCCCCTTCATCTCGCAGCAGCTGCCGGCCAGGTGGCGACCACCCTGGAGCTGCTGGGCCGATGTAATCGGGACCCCCCGGAGACCAGGTCCTTGCTGCTGAGTCTGCGGGACTGCGAGGGCCACTGCCCCCTGCTGGCGGCGGTGTGTGCTGGCAAGGAGGGGACCTGCGGGGTATTGTTCGGGGGGATGGAGACGCGTGGATGCAGTGAGGAGGGGAGAGAGGGAGGGAAGGGGGGAAATCAAGGAATGCAAGGAATGCAAAGAAACCAGAAGGAATGAACTGCTGCCGGAAGGTGTCCAAAGTCCACGGCGGGGGAAAGGGGTGGGGATTGGGGGGGGGAGGGAAAGTGGGGCCAGTTAGCCGCAAGCTCGTTTGAATGATGTACCCATTCATGAGTCAGACAGACAGACAGACAGACAGACAGGCGGTTGTCTCCCCTGGTCCACCTGCAGGTCTATCTCACAGCTGCCAGTCCTCTCCACCATCACCACTTACCACCACCAGGTGCTTACATGCATACAGATGTTTGCTTGTATGCATGTATGAATGTATGATTTTGCATATATGTATGTATGAATGTGTGATTTTGCAGTCCGGCCGTGGCACCTTGACATTGGCGGTTCTATGGCGGCATGTGCACCTGCTGCCACTGCTGGCGGCCGCAACCAGTGGGCCCAACACGGAACGAGATCCCGCCATGTGGGGGACACCCCTGCACACCGCAGCCTGCCTGGGCCTGGTGGCCGCTGTGGAGGTGCTGCTGTGTCAGGGCGCCAGCAGGACCACCAGGGATAACACGGGATGTACGGTGACTGAGGTCGCACTGGCGGCGGGGCAACACTCGGCATATCGAATCCTGCGAGAGGCGCTAACCACGCACACCCCCACACTGCCACGGCGATGATGACCATGACTGCGACCACGACTGCCACCGCTGCGACCTGCCATTCGTTGCTGCTGCAGCCAGCGGCGGCGGTGGAGGGGGCGGCGGCTGCAGCGACTGCCCCTGGTGGCCCGGATGCATCCTCTTCAGGGTTGTCGTACACCGCCGTGGGGGCAGGGATGGTGGTGGCGGGTAGAGGGGGGGGTCCCGGGGGGGGGCGGCTGCAGCAGCTGCCCCTTTCAAGAACTTCGGGTATGGGAGCAATCAAGGCCTCAGTCTCTCTGTCGACTGCAGTGATCACTTCACGTGCAGTCGGCATTGGAGCAGAAGTTCTGCGAGGCTACACAACATCGGATCCTATGGCATGTCTCAGCGAGCTGACCCTGCTAGGGCAAAAGCTCGTCCGCTCTCAACCACAACGCTTAAACAAAGGGCCTCGGGCAACGCACCTGCGGCCTTTAGCTGGCGCACAAAGTCCACGATGAACTTGTTGGTGTCGGCTTCCTGAAGGACAGCCAGCTGGGTCTCGGGCATGAGTGCTGTGAAAACAAGCAAGTCCATTTGCTCGTCTCCAGTGGTCTCTGTGCGAATGGCCTGTGCCATGGCCATCCTTGACACCATGATTCAAAGCTGCACTCAGATAGTGGGCATGCAATACGCTGATTCACACTGATATCCAAAGTTGGAAAGGAAAAGACGAGCCAACATGGGTCAAGGGCACTGGGTACAAATTAATTGCGGAATGTGTTGTGAAGCGCTTACTAGCATTGCATTAATCAGTATGCACCCTACACCACGATGAGCGTGCCTCAATGTACGGTAATTGAGCGCCGTTTCGGATCTATGTTGCTATGTGAGACGATATTGTTGATGGGGTGTTACACTGTGGGCGGCTCGCCCGATAAAGGACGAGCACCGGGGGCCCTGACCGGGCCGAAACACAGTGCAGGGATGGGCACGCGGCTCTACATCCGTCTGTTCCTCCGCGCGCGCCTCATTCCCTCACTCACGCCAACCGGGACACTCTCCCAGCCCCTGGCTAGGCAACACAGCGGCGCAGAAGACTGTGAACCGATCTATGTGAGAGGCGCATGAAAGGCGCCACTTCGCCTGGTCTGCCTATTCACGCGCTCTCGTTCCTCTTGACCGCCAAAACAAGAGCAAAAAGAAAACACCACCGGGGGCAGGGGCTCTACTCAGGGGGCTCCTCTACACACTCAACAAAAGCCAGGGCCCCACACAGCCAGCAAGGCAAGAGATACACAGAGGACCATGGGCCTGAGACGACACACCACAAAAGCCGAGATACAGATGCACAGAGAAGACCAACACAAAGCGAGTACTCGCACACTGGTCCTCGAAGGCCAGCTGTTCAATTACCACAAGCAACGAACTACGAACACTACCCGAGGGTGGCCACCACTTCCTCGCCGGTCCACTCACAAACGAGGCGAAAACTGGTCTGCTCGTCAGTCTCCTCCTGGGGGTTGCGGGCTCTCGGATGCAGCCCAGCGTGAGACACAGCAAAAACACCTATAGCCGCGGGGGGGATGACCAGCCAGCACGGCGCCCCCCTATAAAGCCTGGAAAAGGCACGGCTCACAGACGCTGCCTGCTCCCGCTTACCACCCCGAAATCCCTCCCCTCCTGACCCTGACCGGCCGGAGCCAGCAACACCTGTTCTCCACCTCCAAACCACTCTCCTCCACCGCTTTCCCACCTCCTCTCCACTCCCACAAGCCACCTACGTGTTCTCTACTCTGATGCCAGACAGCACAGATATTGTTATTTAGCTTGTTATGTCGACTTCATTGCGCTTCTGTTGTGCACTTATCGGCTCAAGTCGCTCTACTCAGAGTTTAATTATTGGTTTCAAGAGGGATCAGGCCGAATGCCAACTGCTTAGAATGGCGCGTATTTAAACAAGGCTCTACTTTCAAATTATGGCAATAGCTACAGTAGTACTGAATTGCTGTTGCCGCTTTCCAGGGCAACTGAATGGCCGTACATGCACGTAAACGGTCGCCATTGCACTGAAGAGCCCAGCAGTTCTTCTTCACCGTAGCACACAACCAATCCGCATTGGTGTGACTGCACGACGAGGTGTGCATAGGTGATGCGAACAGAATGCGGCAGAACAGCATGACAAACACAAAAATGATAAGACACGGATGTTTGAAGCAGTAGGAGTGCCGGGATAACAATGGAAGTTGGTCGAATGACAGCAAGAAAAGGACAACAGTAATCAACGGCGACACATTAACGAAGCGAGCTCACCATCACTTCACTCACTTCTCTACGATTGTTGGGCACAATGTTGGGCTCAATATGTTACCCAACCTCCCAGTCAACACAGAAGCAATCCCCTATAGCTATCAGTACGTAGCATACATACTCCCCTGCTGCCCATAGGCATATGCATTTGATGGGGGTGGGGCGCGATGATTGCTCAGTTTTGCAACTGAAAAAGCAGCTCTCTGACTTGCTGGCCAAAGGTTTTATTTAAGAATCGAAGTCACCATTCGGTGCGCACGTCCTCTTCTCACAAAAGAAGGACGGCTCGCTTCTCATGTGCCTTGACTTTAGCACTCTTAACAAAATCACCATAAAAACCGGTATCCACTTCCGAACATCACCAACCTCCTCAACAAACTCCAGGGCGCGAGTATCTCCTCATCCCTCGTCCTACAAAGCGGCTACCATCAAGTCCGCATCACGGAGGAGGACATCCCAAAAACCAGCCTCATGACACCCTTGGGAACGTCCCAGTACAAAGTGCTGTGCTTCGGGTTGACTAATGCACCGGCGACCTTTCAAAAGGTCATAAACACCGTGCTCATCGACGCTTACTGCGTTGTCAACCTAGATGATATCCTCATCTTCACCAAAGATCCGACCAGCCACCTCGAGCACATGCGTGCCGTACTCGAATCCCTCAAAGGGGCGTGTTAACGTGCAACGCGCGAAAAGTGCGAGCTGAACAAGCCCGAAGTCAACTTCCTAGGCCACTTCGTAGGCCAGTATAGACTGAGGTGGATCCCTGAAAAATTGAGGCCGTTAAGAACGACCCCGTCCCAAAAGACAGGACGGCGCTGTGCGGCTTCCTGGGCCTTGCGAGCTACTTCCGCAAGTTCACCCAAGGGTACTCATCGCTAGCGACTCCACTCACGG